ACTGCTCTCCAGTGCTCCTTAGAAAGGTTCGCAGCCGAGTGCGACGTGACCGGCATGCGTGTGAACGCATGTAGGACGAGAAGCCTAGTGCTTTCTCGTTCTCCTGCCCGTTGCTCTCTTCAGATTAACGGAGAGGTAGTGGAGCAGGTGGAAAAGTTCAAGCAATTCGGAATTGTATTTACCTGTGATGGAAAATTGGAGGAAGAGATCGATCGGCGAATTGGAGTAGCCAGTGGCTTTCTTTGTAAACTAGCCCGATCCACTGCAACTAAAACAGAGCTCAGTTTGAAAACTAAGCTCTCGTTATTCAGGTCGTTCTTTATCCCTATGCTTCCCTACGGTCATGAGTCGTGGATCATGACTGAAAAGCTTCGAGCTGCTGAAATGGGTTTATCGAGATGAGCTGCCGGCCTACTCGTCTCGATTTGGTCCGGAATACAGACATTATGGCAAGGCTTGCTGTACAGCCGCTGTTTCTTCAGGCTGAGAATAGTATTGATAGGTGTTGCGAATGCCTCCAGAAAAGAAGGCTGAGCAACTGTTTCTTGCGAAACCAACCGGCAAAAGACCGAGGTGATGGCCAAGATTATCTTGGTGCAAATATACGGAAGTAGTATGTTCCAGACTCCAGTTGTCTTCAACCGAAGCTCAGACTACGGCACGGGATCGGAAACGTTGGAAGCACTGTCTGACGTGTCTGCCTCTGCGATTGGAAACGGAAGGAATGCGATCATGGAACATGAAGAAGATGAAGAAAATAAAATGTTTGCGCTTCAGTCATGCACTACGACGGAAGGACAATCGGCTGAACAACAGCATGATTGGTTATATGCTGAACCCATGCTGGCAAAGGCTGAGATACGTCAAAAAATTCATGGTTGCTCGAGATAAATGGAGGAGAAATCACGAATTTATGTCATTTTGACAATAAAGTTTTTTGTGAGGAGCACTGGTAGGATTAACCGGAAAGTCGGTCATGCTAGTGACACGTTGATGATGCAGTACCAGATGCCACGAAGTTTTAATAAGTGGTCGAATCGATATTTCGAGAAATCATTCTGTTCTGATGAAGCCTGAGATGATTAAAACGAACAGAAATCAAATCTTGACTCAATCAGAATGTTGAGTTGCAGCAAGTCACCACATTCTAATAATTCGATTTCGTCTTGAACGAAGACAGTAACTGCAAGAAAAAATTCGTCAGCATTTATGAACAGAAAAGTGCTTGCATGATGGCAAAGTCTCCGCACCATAAACTTTCCAATCTGAGTTTTGTCAAATATCTAATCCAGTCACCTAACAGTTATAAATGGGAACGTTGGACTTCACAAAGGCGAAACTTAAATTCATGAGATCATGCCATGAAGAAATTAAGTACCTTTAACTGTCACTAACAGACATTCATCGTGCAAATCGGAGTACTAACAGGATAATGTTATTCTCACCGACATTACTGAAACCTAGCAGCTTGCTAACAAGCCCATAATAACAGGACTTACTTTTGCTACCAACAGACATTTTATAGCTAGTTTGCTTCTCATTTCGAGGAGGTGCTGTCACATGATCCAGGAAGAGCATTTAAAATGTCTCTTAGCTAAGTTTCAACCAAATATTGCATCACTCCTCTCCAGCAGTATATATGCTTCGGCTACGTAATGAAACGAAGTGGTATGAAAAGTGTAGTGTTATTCTGCTGCGCTCTTTGAGTTTGGATTCCTTCACCACAATCGATAAGATGTTAAAAATGCGAACTCATCGCCCGTATTTCAATCAGACATTGCCTCACTCATTTCTGGTGGTACTTGTAATGTACCACAAATGACGACTGAAAAATAAAATGCAGAGTCAGTATTACACGAAATTACCTCTGCTTCCTTGGAAGACTGCTGCTGTTCTTTATCTAGAACTTTCTCTAAACCTCCGGACGACGATTCGTAATCACTGTTTCTAAATTAAAGATTATTCAACGATAGGTACTAAGGCAAAGGCAATGCATGCAATGGTAAAAAGCGAAGTAAATTGATTTAATAAAATGAATTACGAATTCATAATTGCGAGCGGCTTGCGTCAGACCTTAATGATTCAATCATATCACACAGCTTGTTTGCTTATCTTGAAAATTGCACATTATTTAAATAAAGCATATTTTGAGAAAAACTTAACACAACAAAAGCTCAGAAATGGGACTTAAAGACCGATTTAGAAGTATTTCCGCTAATGTATAACTCACCAATGACTTGACTGCCAAAGAAAAAGTTAAATAATAACGCTAATTTAAATAAAAAATAATACTATTTTAACATACTATTCAATTCTATGCGCAAATAATAGTACGTCAACACACTACCGTTTCCTATCATTCCTGGAGTATCTGCATCACATAATGAACCCAAGCGAGGCTTGAATTCGCAATCTTTACACGACGCTCTGCTAACTAGATAAACTCTAAGAAAAGCACTGAGCTTCGGGTAAAACGAAATACTTTGCTTCTACACATAGCGCTGCTTCGCTGTAAACTAACGGTTTTCAAATTAACCAAATACGAATTTTGTCATATATAGGACGTTTCAAGAAACAGTGGCTATGCATGTGCGAGAAACGTCAGAAACCTGATAACTCTAGAGACTCACTTAAATTATAAGCTGAAATATACTGTGGTTAAAGACGCCAGTCTTTCGTTAAATCTTGAGTTCATGAACTATTCAGCAGACTTTTGATTAACCTATATACTTACATGGCCATGACAGAAAGAGCTTCAGAAAGTTCCTCATCGTCATTTTCATGGTTTTTCTGTTTTTCTGATTTCTTCAGCATTAGCAACAACAAGTAAAAAACCACTTCCTGAAATTAAAGGTAAATTTGTCGTAAAACCAGTACCAATATTCGACCGAACGAAGAGGTCTTGTGATTTTTAACAGGATTCTTTGACCTCTCACCGTTCAAGTTGACCAGAAAGGTTCACCAAATTTGTGGCTATCCCTTAAACATATAATTGCTGCATGCCACTGTTCCATAGTATTAGAGCAACTGCAATGTACAGTACGCATACACCGAGTCCGTCAGTGAGTCGGGCTAGACAGCGTCGCTCGAGTATCAACATAACTGCCATTATATGTTGGCAAAATGCGCAGAAAATAAGGAAAAAATATACCCCAATGTACATCTGAATATTCTTTTCTGAACAATAAATTTTGTTGTTCTCGCTTTGTGCTCTCTTTGAGTTATTGTTTTTGTATCAAACGAAGGTAATTTAGAGTAGATAAAAAATGAAAAAGATCCAAGAGGATGATGACGAGAAGGAAGAAAAGAAGAAAGGGAAACAGAATAGAAAAAGAGAAGAAAGAGAATGACAACGAGGAAAAGCAGCGGCGTATCATGCAATCAAACTCTTTTCAGGGATAATCATGTGCTCATGCGCAGCACCGATCAAATGGTTTAATGGGACATCGAGCAATTCAGCTGTCAAAATATTACCCTGATGGCTGAAGCACTACGAACCAGCGCTTATTTTTCCCACATCCGCGCTACGCTAAGAATCAGAGGACGCTGCCGCCATCTCAAATCCGGATCCAAAAACTGACACCACCTCCTATGCTGACTGAACTTACTGCACCTATCCACTAACACAAATGGCTGTGCAGCCGATCTTTATCTCATGAAACAGAATCATTTTCTGAAACGTGTCACCGTGCCAATCAAGACAAAACTTCCCTCCCCCCCCCTATTCATGAACGTATGGAGAACCAACCACATGCTATATGAAGAGAAGGAGACGATCAACTTCTACTTGTAGAAAGGAACAGGGATAAAAACGTAATGCAACAGCAACTGGCAAATAACGCTTTTTTCAGTGCCCTACAAGGTCTTTCCGCTCGTTGCTGGAGAGTTTGAACTTCCTTCTCATCAAACGTTGCCGCCAGTCGCTTGACAGTGAACGCGGTTATGGCATTAAGACTATTATATGAGACATCGAGAATTTAATTGGCCCCTGTACGTGAACTACGTAAACCTGAAGTTGGCCTTTGACTCGGTGGTTTCGCTCTTCTTAGCATTCAAGGGCAATAGTGTCCCAAACATGATGTTGAACCCAGAGGGAAGGGCACTAGTATTCAGACTGAGTTAGCTCTCCCAGAACGGTTTCCCACATCGCTGGTAGTGACACAGGGATGCATGCTTGTTCCAGCCATGGACTAGATCGACGAGTACAAGAAGCATCGTTGGAAGTTCCACGCCGCTGTCTCTGCCTTCCTTGGTCTGATTTACGCAGACTACATCGTCGAGACCACGTTGTTTCATTGCTTATTCATATTATCAGCTTGAGCCATTTACATATGCAGAATATATTTTGTTTGTGATGTCCGCTGTATCCGCGTCTTTTCAACATTCTTGCTATAAGGCACCGGTTACTGCATCGCGGAAAAAAAACTTATTCCTCCATGTTGCGCGCTGGCCTCTAGGCCGATGTCTGTTGTGTCTCGGCTCAAACTCGAGAGGATCAGTGACTAGAATAAATCGTCTATGCTCAACCAATTAGCCTTAGAAGGCTAATTTCCTTTTCTTAGTTTCCATATCTACCGAGGTCACCTATGTCCGGAAGAGAATAAAGTCAATCTTTAAGTGGTACTGCCCTCATTATGCGTAGAAGCCAACGCTGCTGTACGCTGTTCAACCATCCATTTTGCTTCTTCGCTAGAACAACTGTCTCGTCTCTATGTCGCATAACAACCCTGACCTGAAGAGGAAAGGCACAAGCGGATTTTCATAGGAAAACCAACTCCTTTCTCAACCTTAATATCAGACGGGTTTCCAAAAAAGCATACGAGGTTAAGGTGATCCGTGAATGTAACTCGGATAGACAGTCATCGCTATAGGTGTTGGGGCCAAGAAATAATAACTGGATATCCTCTATGCCACACTTGTAGATCAGATGTGCCAGATGTGTTCCTCGGCGTTAAGAATGAGGCTGGCTTTCGCAACTGTGTTGCACCTGGAAGCCATCAGGTGAAAAGTTCTATTCACATACTACCGCCAGAATAATATCACCTACGCTATCCAGGTCAGCAAGATATCTAGCCAGATATTCAGAACTGAGCTTATCTTCACAATGAGACTTTTGTCATTACCAGGGTCATCACTGTTTTGAGAACAATGTTGAATAGGAAATGCAAAAGCATATCTTCCTGGAAAACTCCACCGTTAATAGGGAACCATTCAACCATTCAAATAGCCCTCCTCTGCACATATTTCCTTCAAAATAGGCACAATGCGCTCAGATATCCCATTGCATTTCAAGATTTTCAACATCGTTGAACAACGTAGTGAATAAAATGCATTCATAAAATCGACGAAACTGGCAAATCAAGGGAACTCGTCAGCATTTCTCAACGATATCACGAAGAGTGAAAATTTGGTCAGGCATTCATTTGGAAGGAAGCCTGATTTGGAAGAAATCTCCGATCAATTCTCTACCTTAGCCTTTCCAACATAATCAATGAGAAAGGTTTCTCGGGAGGGTGTTGAAAGTACCGTGATACCATGATAATCAGACCCTCGCTTACCCAACCACCTCCTTTAAATAGAGAAACAATTGCACCGCCCTTCCATGCTCCTAGAAAACGAATGATGAAACAGATAATGGAGCTTTTCTACCATTTCCCTTCCTGCATAACAAATTAACTCCAGAAGAACTGGATCCACCCCACAAGGCCTTTTAGATATATAGTTCAGAAAGTCGACCTGTAATAATCTCTCGTGGTTGTAGAAAATCAACGGCAGGAAAAAAGGCATCTGGAGAGTAGCCGTTGAGCAGCTGCTGAACGGCCCATGGTTTGAGGCGTTAATTTTCACTCGCAAATGGGATATTTATCATCCTGGATAAAGACAAACCAAGTCCCCTGCTTACCAAAAAACTGTCGCACTCCGATGAACACTGTTTAATACACTGGCTGCCTTTTCGATCTTCTTGGTTTCTCCTACAACAAAGTCTTCCCTATTCCGCTAGTAACTTTTGTTGGCTGCACGAACGACACAACGAGGAGCTACCTCCAACGGTGCAGTATGGCGTGGCAAATACCCCTCCTTTGTCTTCTTCCCAACCAAGGACAATTTATCTGGTATCTTTTAACTCGAAGGAGTCTGTTCCAGACTCCAATCATCTTCTGCCAAAGTTCAGACTCTGGCACAGGATCTGGAACGTTGGAAGCTCTGTCTGACATGTCTGCCTCCGCGACCCAAAAGGAGAAGCGGCGATGGAAGATGAAAACGAAGAAGAAGATCTTTTAACTCTATTCTTTTTCGCCGAGAAAATGAAGGCTTTTCGAAATCTTTGTAAGCTTCATCAGCGTTTCCACCTCTTGACTGGGAACCAGGGGTGGCATTGAAATAACTCTCTACCTCCTTTTGGTACGTCGGCCACGCCGCTTTGTCATATTTTGGTCGAGCAGCTGATGCGCTTCAATTGGACGACGTCAATGCTACACGGTTAATTCTAGACGAAGCTCCGCCACCACCATATGATGATCAGACCCAATGCAGGTACCACGACTGAAAAAAGTCTGGAATAATAAGCTGGGCTATTTTCGGTTAATGATGACGTGGTTCATTAGGTGTTTAGGCTACAATCGGGGGACTTCCAGATGGTTTGGTGAGAGGGGAAAGGAATAGGAAAATTGCAGCAAAACCAATAACAAAATGACATATTCGTTTTGAGAAGAAACGGTACTAAGGCGGATGGTAACTAAAGATATCTTTCCCTATGCCTCTAATATTTAATACTTCTAAAGCTGGTTTGCTAACTTGGAACCTTCTGTTTCGATGCTATGGCATACCCCAGAGCATTGCATCGGCCTGAAGTTCATAAGATATTATTTTCGAATGACATTGTGACAAAAATTGTCACTGTATGCCCTTTCCACATCCACAAGACTTTCATCCGCAACAGGGATGCGTACTCAATACCTCTGCTACTAGTAATCAATTTTGCTTGGTACATCATCGTCAAATTCCCTTACTTTCGTGAACGGATTTTGTAGCATTTAAGCTATCTCTTGGCACGCCGAAAAACGGGATTCGCCGGTGAAACATTAAAATAATACTTTCAATTATCAAATAAATTCTTTGGAAAAAAATCATTACGCGAGTTAATAAATATATCAAATCTGATGTAACTTTTAGAAGACATTTGTGTTGCGTTCAAAGTTCAGACGATACGTTTCACAAGTGAACGCTATGTAATGGAACAGAACACAGCTGAACCAGAATGAATGGCGAAGAACGTACTGCAACTGAGTTTATTACAAGTGTCATGTAGCTGAAAATCCAAAAAATCTTTTTGGAATCATACAGCATATCAATTTATGATATATAAATCTCCAACGTTTCCGAACATGATCCACCCGCCCTCACGGAGAAACATTATGAAACACGTTATAGTATCACATAGCATTACCATTAGATCATAAGAACCTCAGGCGTACCTTAAAATCGCCATCGAAGCCGGACTGGATCAGTACCTCGCTCTGCTCACATAACATCTCGCTAAAAAACGTTAACTCTGAGGGCGCCGTAACAGCACCTTGGTCGGACGTACATCGCTCGTCTTTTGTCTTCACTTCTTCACATAAGTGCGACTTCCTCAGTGTCTCCTCCGCCAGGTACTCAACCTGAGTCTAAATGTAAATCAAACTTCAGCAACCTGTCAAATACTCGCTCGGTAACCGCATACTTGCGACTGGGTGCTGCAAACAGCACAGTAATAAAAGCCATCAATGCATACGTAGCGCTTCCCGCCACAAACATTGCATTCCATTCGATCAAAAGCTACGAAAAATAGAGGTTGAATTAAATACGTAACTGCAGGCTAGCGTCAGAAACGCCGAAGTTACGGAGTAGTTTATTTTTTAAAAAAGTGCAATTTTGCAACGGGATTTGGATACGACAGTATGATTTCTGATCAGATCGCTAGGTAGTAACATAGACCAGGGAAATTATCATTATATATGAACCGCTTCTCCAGGTTCGTACGGTTTATTAGCACCGTTGCTAACCTCCTAAGTGTATTGGGATACCTCTATACAGCTTACAGTTCACAATATTACAGAAACGCCAGATCATTTATAAAAAAACTGAATAACTATATCGAAAGGGCGGCACTGGAAATCAGTTTTGATGACAAACCCAATATCATAGTTATTTCTGGCACCTACATATAAGTTGTTATCCTTTACGGCTGTCAGCATCATTCTGCAGTAAATGGGTCTAAATGAACAGCAGCCAAGCGAACAGACAGGATTCCGAAGGATCAGCAGTTCGATTGGAAACATTTATTGCTCTAAGTTGGCTCCTGCAGTGCGTGAAGGAATTTTTTTCTCTCTGTGCCTACCCCTCATCGATTATGTAAGAGCGTCGACAGTGTCATGCATAACGCATTATTGACTGCACTGGCAGAACGAGACATTGGCAATCGTTTCATCAACCTGCTGAATAAACTTGCGCTGCTTCACCATTGCGCAGGTCTCAGAAAATTCTGAGACAATAGGACACCATTTTTCTTAAACTCTTCATTGTCTTTCGGAAAATAGGGTTACAGAGGATCAACTGGAGAAGTAGAATTATCGTCAGTAGTAAACAACTCAGCCACCTATGGTTCTCTGAGGGCGTGATGTCGTTAACGGAAAACGACAGTTAGCTAGAAACTAAACTAGACATGCTGAAACAAATAGAATAGAGATTGGACTAGGAATGAATCTGGCGAAGACTAATCTACTGCGATCACGATGCCTTGCTGATGGCATAGGTAAGATTAATTGCTGGAAAGATTGAAAAAGTAATAGATACATTCACTGTGTTAATAGATAGCATGTAGCGTGATCGGTTAAGAGAGGTTGAACGAATAAAGAGGATCGGTTTGATCGCGTTCCATTTTATTAATAATGTCCTCGTAGGAAACAGCCGTAAAGCTGCATAATGAAATAGTTATAAACACTTTAATTTAAGAAGACGCAGTCATATAAACAATAATTGTCCAACAGTTATAGGTGTAATCAGCAGTCTCAATAATCTATTCTCTAGCGAATTTCTAAAAGAAACGATACAGCGTCGTATCTCAGTGTATGTAATGACAATAAATTCCCGGTTGAAAGTTCAAATAGACTTCTTTGCCGAGCAAGAATGAAGATGAAATTGAGGTGCAATGCCTGTGAAGTCAAAAGTACTTTTAATCGTAAGCCTGAAGTAATTATGCTTTGGCACTGTTCTCCTCCAAGGTTGCGTTCTGATCGCCTGTCTGGGGACGGCCAGTATTAACCTGGTGGAAATATATAGAAGGAGTTTACTGCAGACTCCAGTTGTTATCTGCCGAAGCTCAAACTCTTACGTAGGATCGCAAAGTTGGAAGCACTGTGTGACGCGTCTGCCTCCGCATCCCAAAAGGAGAAGCGGTCATGGAAGATGAAAATGAAGAAGCCTTGATTGATTCTTTATTTTAAAAAAAAATCTGACTTAAAGTTACAACGTTAGAAAATGCCAATTTATCTGCGACGGGACAACATCAGAAAGAAAAAAGGCAACTGATTCAAAAGATAAAAACCTACCAATATGTGAAACCACATCTTGAATGGCACATCACTCGCCGAAGGATATGCAATTTTATTCCAATGGTCAAAGCGCATCTTCACCATTAATTAAAGATTCTGGAGTAAAACAGGAATTAATCACCTATTCGCGCAATAGTGTAAACTGTGACAATGAACAAGTACTGTATTAGATGAGGCTCGTCGCGCCTATCGCCAAAAAAATTTTGAAGTAATTATTTTGATAAACAGCCCCATTTTTTGGTATACATGGCCAACTGCCGTGGATAACCGCTTTGTCACCGATAGTTTTTGAAGTCATTTTTTTTGGATAAACCAGTAGGACAATTTCCGAAAGGCTGACGTCAGTTTATCATTTGATGATGTCATATTGCGTTATGTGTGACAAAACCATTTTGTGACACATTTTCAGAACGGTCAATAACGTGCGAAGAATCTGTTGCAGATTCTGACAATTATAAGCATTTCTTGAAAGCAGCACATAAGGTTAGATTTCCTGCAAGTTTGTAATAGTAGGCTGCACCTTATATTCAGCGTTGCTAGGAACTGCATGCATCAACTGTTTGAATCAAGCATCGATTAGCCAGTTAATCAGTTTCGATGGCATCTTATTCCTCTGCATTGCGAATGCATATGCGTGAGACAGTGCCTTCAACGTTCCTGACGCTGTACCAATTTTTTAACTTCGGGAAAAGATAACCTGTGTGTTTAGACGCCTGTCCCAGGTCATTCTTTGCTGTAGCTGTTTCGGGGGTCTTCCTGTCCCTCTACCTTTCTAGAAGCGTTAGCAAGACTTGACCAAGTCATCACAGCTATGACTCCACAGCCTGGAGAATCAGACACACCAAGGCTCTCTCTGGAGTCTGTATTCCGTAGTACGTAGAGAACCACAGGCCCATCGATTATTCGTCCCAGACGGCTCATTTCAGCAGCTTAGACTTGACATCGTCGATTTTCAATTATGGCCAACGAAAGGACTGCAGGTGTGCGTTGGGAGGCGCACACTGACAGTTCAAACTTCAGACTCAGGTCTGCCTGAATTGCAACGGTTCGAACCGGTATATACAAAACAACTCTGATCATTCAAATTCACCGGTCTACCAATTCCGATAAACATGACCCTGAGAAACGTCAGCTTCCTCACCTGTTTCATTGCTGCTCCGTTTATCTTCAGAATACAACGACCAGGAGAACGATAAAGCACTAAGCTCTTGGTTTTAGACACATGTTCACATGCATTTAGCCCCGTCGCACTCAGCTGCGAACTCTTCCAGAGAACGCTTAGAAGTCTCTTTCTGAAGACACCAACAACTTAGTTTTCTGATAGCAGTAAAGTCTTGCCTCCGCACCTCTGACGCGAATATGTTCGTCGCTTGGCTGCGCCTGACTATTCTTTCCATGTGCAATACAAACAGAAGAGAGGACAGAACCCAGCCTTGGAAGAGATCAGTGTCAACGCTGGAAGTTTTGAACTTACTCTGACATATGGCTGTCAACATGCAGTGACTAGATTGCTCATAGCCACCTGTTTCCAGGTACGCTTACAGCTTCTTATGCGGGATCCAGTCGTAGGCTTTCTTCAGGTTGCCAAAGTGCATGCAAACCGGATTAGCGAACTATCAGCAATGTGGCATCAAGCGAAGATCATGTCAGAACTGCTTTCGCCTTCTTGAAACCACGGTGCTCTTTATTTTGTCTTAGAGTCCGTTATTTCGTGGAACCTCTTTTCTAACATCTTTGCGTAGATTTAACCAGGAGGATCAATTAGGTATGCCTTGATAATTGCAACACTCCCTGTGGTCTGCCTTCTAAACAGGGGTAGGGCAGCCCTTGTCCTCCAGTTTTCTGCTGTCTTTCCGGAGCCATTGTTGTTGCAGTATTCCAGAACATGCTTTATTTGACTAAACACGTGCTTTTCAAAGTTATGAAAATTTCTTATGTGATTTCTGTTTTGAGAGGAAATAGTGTCATGAAGACTGGAAAGAGTATTCAAATGGGTTTTCTACAGCTGAGCTTTTGTCTACGCCTTGGTCACTTTCATCTTGAGAAAATCTTTAACAGTATCGCAGTTTCTGCAATAATAATTTTCTAACCTTTGAAGCGATTTGTCCTTTATCGGTTGTTCAAGAAAAACACAAATTCCTGTAGTTTTTATTTATGTAATTTCAAAACCTTTGCAAACATTAATCATTTAGAGATGATTTGCTACAATATCGTGACTCGGTTTATTTAAATAAACCAACCGTAAAAATTTTGCATTAACTATTTTTATTTATAACTAATTATGAAAACCTCGATTTGCCTGATTGATCCTCGATGGTTCGGGGTGTAGGCTTCAAACCTGCAGTCGACTAACGTCGAAGTGGTTCGATTCCACCTATCGGGCGTAATTTTCATTTTTATCTCGGTGCACTTTTGTTGTCATGCACCAAATACTATTGTACGTTGTTAATTCTCAATGTTTCTCAATCATAATTCCGTATCACAAAGTTCCGCTACACTGTCACATCGATGCATTTGGAGAGTTTTCAACCTTGCGGAGTAGAATTCGAATTCAATCGCTGAGTAAGTTTTCTTCTCGACGATTTGAACAAATCACGGTGATGAGCGCTGATGTGAAAACCGAGATGTAGCTCTTTAAAGACACAAATGCTGCGGATTCAAACTGGTTGGCCTATCTTCTACCTTATATCCATGCGAAGGTCTCCATGAACACAACGTGAAACTTTTGTCAAACTAATGAATTTCTGAAATTCTAAGATTTCGTCCATCACTAGATGTTCATTTGTTACATATTAATACGATTAGTACAATACCAAAACATCTGTCAAATTGCCCAAATATTTCACAAAATTTAGATTTACAAATATAATGTAGTTTAAAATGAACTTTTCGTGGAAGAACAACGAGCTGAGGTACAAAATAACTTTATTTATGTGGCAAAATTTATATGCAATGTATAACATCATGGGACCATTTTTTATGCACTAAGCCACGAAGGTAAATAGCATCTCTGTTATGATGGGCATTCGCAGTCGGTATTATCTTTTCGTTCTCATCCCGTTATTTCTTCAACGTTACTGATGAAGGTAAAAAATGGAGTCATAAAATAAAACGCGAAATCTTAGAAATCCGTTAGTTTGACATAAGTTTCACATTGTGTTCGCGGAGAGCTTCTCATGGATATGTAACATGGTGCGCTGGATATTGCAGTTGATCGAGATGAATCACAGCCCAGTCTTACCGAATCATAGAATCAAACGTTTGCCACAGGACTGCATGTTAATAACGACTAACGATCGGCATCGAAACGGCTGGCACCAAGACGGCCGTGTCGAATCGTCATGAACCGCATAATAGTCAGACGCAGTCAAAGCGATGAGTGTATTGATGTACGAGATGTGGAAAGGAAAAGGTTGATGATTGCAGACGACCTTGTTTTATTGGCTTCTTCTGAAACTTATCTGCAGTGCTCCATAGAAAAGTTCTTAGCCGAGTGCGACGTGGCCTGCATGCGTGTGAACGCATCTAAAACGAAAAACCTGGTACTTTCTCGTTCTCGCGCTCTCTTCAAATTAACTGAGAAGCAGTGAAGCAGGTGGAGAAACTCAAGTAGCTCAATGTCGTGTTTAGAGTGATAGAAAATTTAAGGAAGAGATCGACCGGCGAATTGGAGTAGCCAGTGGCGTTCTGCGTTAATTGGCCTGACCCATTGTGACTAAAGCAGATCTCAGTCTGAAAACTAAGCTCTCGATATTCAAGTCGATCTTTATTCCCATAGTTACCTACGGTCATGAATCGTGAACCACCACTGAAAAACTTCGAACGCGGGTACAAGCTGCTGAAATGGGCTTTCGTAGACGAGTCGCTGGCCTTACGTGTCTCGACATGGTCCTGAATACAGACATCTGGGAGAACCTTGGTGTACAGCCGCTGCTTCTTCAAATTGAGGAATCAGTGTTGCGAATGCGTCAAAAAGAAGACGAAGCAACCTCCATTTGCTCAGATAATCTGCAGAAGATGCAGGCGACGGCCAAGATTCATCTGGTGCAAATATTTGGAAGGAGCATGCTCTAGACTCCGGTTGTCTTCTCCCGAAGTTCCAATTGTAGTACAGAAACAGGAGCGATGGAAGCACTGTCTATTGTGTCTACCTTTGCAACCCGAAAGGGAAAGCGGTCACGGAAGATGAAGTGCGTTTTCTTATTAACTGCCAATTTCTTTAAACATGGAATTCAGCCGACTGTATATCAGTGCGTTGTGCCAAGACATTGGTATCATTTCTATGAAATGAAAACATCAATGTCAGCATGGCGTTGGAGGCACCCTAGCACAATAGAAATGTGGTCGGCTTCTAACTCCAGAAATGGCCGGTTCGAACCATAAGAGAGGAGGAACGTCGTCTAAACGGTGAATTCCTTTGAGCAATGAATTTATGTCACTTTGTTTCAACGCATCAAACCGAGAAGCGGATGGCAAGTTGTTAACTTGTGAATAACAGAGACAGTACTGCATCGACATTCACTAATTTAACAGTCTTTAATCACTGTACTCGCGGAGAGCTGTTCATTAATGTGCAAATAATGAAAACTAGAAAACGGTATGGTAGGAAACATCTGCTAATATATACAATCAAGCTCACGATCGCAGGATCCGCTCTGAATTAATTAATTCTCGCAGCCAGAAAATGGAATCATAAAAATAATAAAACGGAAATCATACAGATTTAGTAGCATGACAGAAGTTTCACATTATGCTCACGGACTGCTTCTCATGGATATGTAATACGTTGAATTAGATGCGACAGTTGATCCAGGTGACGGCATTTCAATCGCATCGATTCAAACTCATGGCCACAGGTCTTCACGTTGACAACGACTACGGATCGGAGCCAAAACAGCCCTCGCCAAATCATCTTAGACCGCAAACTCTTTACATTGGTAAACATCGTTATCACGATGATTTACCATGCTGTTTCGTGGTCGACTAACATTTCGACTCGTTTCCCAGTGAAGTGCTAATGTCACAACCTGTTGGTTTGGTGTTTTGTGTTTGTACAGTTATCTAAGGGTTCTGCTTGGAACAACGTACGTGCGTGGTTCGATTCCGTCTTATTCTCGAATTTTTTTGAGCAAGTAATTTACTACACTTTGCTTCATACTGGAGTTGTTCAGTCCGGAGACGGTCGGACTTGGAACCGATAGGTCCTGAGTTCAAGCACCGGTCAGAGTCACTTGCCCTTCTTCATTCTGAGGTTGATAAATGAGTATCAACTTGTGGAGAGTAAACAGGAAACTATAAGCTACGCTTATCACATGCCTGTAGCCTCTGCCTTAAAACAATAACGCACTCCTGGCTGATAGCATAGAAACTAAGATTAGCACCTCATCATCAACCTCGTGAAGAGAAGGGCGTCAAAACGGCCCAATCATGAGAATGAAGGAAGGCCGAATTCCAGCGATGACTAACCTACATGATCAAGCACCTGCTAAGCACATACAACCCGCGTTACATCCGTCACTCCAGTTTGCTAGAGAATTTCTGCATTAGGAAAAGCGACGCGAGGAAAGATATGCTTTCCGTTTCTAATTTCATTCCACAAAGGGCATACACCATTTCCCGATAGTAGAACTACGGTCAGATAATCAGTAGCAGTCAGATACGAAAGAAATCTGATGAACAAGTAGGTTCGGGCAAAACAG